ACACGCAATAGAACACACGCGCGCGTACACACACATACATTCACGCACGTGTGCGTACCCACCCACATGCATGTGCACACTCATGTGCATGAGTGGAGATGCCCGCATACACATGTCACACCAGCATGCCCTGGGAGCGGTCATGCACGCGTGTATAGTATGTGTGCGAGGGCACGTCCACATGAGCGCATATGCATGCTCATACATGCGTATGGTGCACACATGCACAAACATGCAGGTCTATGCAAACACACACACACTCGCGGCCGCCGCGCATACAGTGTGCTCATACATTTCCATAGCCATAGGGTGGCAATGACTCGCAAATATCATGAATAAATCTTATGAGATTGAAAAACGCACTTACCCAAAGCAGCTTTGGTGTTGCTTGTGGAAGCACGGGGGCCAGGGTGTTGAGCAGTTACAGGGCTATCTGTAATGTATCTATAAAATTCTCCATCCCACACTGCTGACACGGAATGACAAGTACGCTGCCCAGGTCGTACCTAGTACCTCTTCTCTTCAACGCAATCAATGAGCGCCAGAGGTTTGCCACATCCAGGATTCTGGCACGCAGACAATCACACAGCCAGATACCTGAGATGAACGATTCGTCGACCGTGAAGAGGGGCACTGAACGACCTCTTCGCGGGAGTCGAATCCAGTGGCGTTAGTGGTGGAGATCGCCCTTTCCGTTTTTCAGGAACTCGATCGATCGTTTGAGTTTGCGAAGCGTCCCCGTCCTCGGCTGCTTGCATCGTCCAGTACGCAGAATGAGAGGCCGCGTCGTGGGTGACGGATTACTCTCCCGCGTCTTCATCTCCACGACACATCGGCAGGAGAACCGATCTATCCAAAAACCGCCAATGTCAAAACAAATCCGCAAGTCCACTAGTGGCTGAGCTTCTTCCTCAAATCTTGTCTCGACTCGAGCACGCGCTGCGAAGTCATGGTCAAACTGCTTATTTTTTTACTCGATTGTGCATGATCGCGTCCCATTTTTCCACTCCGAAAGGCATTATTTTTCAGAAAAAAATTCGGAAATCCAACATGGCGCTAACCGTCGCGAACCTCGCGGGATTCACAGAAGCTTTTTTGCGATGCGACACGCGATGCGACAGACGCGAAACCGGGAAAACCCCAAATCGCAGCCATGTCGCACCCCACGCAACTGCCGCAACTGGGCCATCGCAGGCCATCGCAGAAGTTGAGCTTGGCTCAACTTTTGCGATGCGATGCGATGCGACAAGCGATTTGGTGTACGATTTTGACCTTTTCTACAGCAAAGTTGTACAAAGGTGCAAGAGTTGCCTATAAATTTTTACAAGTTGTGTCAAACCGCGCGAATATCATGGTGACGTACCCAAATCAGCAAAACTTTGTCGCATCGCTGACTTCTTCTGTGAATGGTATTTCGCGAGTTCGCATCGCACGCATCCATCGCAGATCGCGTCGCATCGCAAAAAAGCTTCTGTGAATCCCGCTTTACGATAGTTTAGTTGTTATGCGAGATTTCCCTGACGATTACAGATAAAGCGGAGGCAAATGTCCAGAAAGAATGCGAGAACAAAATACAGCGTTCCGGAAAGGGTGTCGCCCTCAACGTCGCAGTGGAGCCACATCTCCAACCCCTGACTGGGGAGCAGTTCCAGCTCCGGTCAGCATCAACCGAGGAATCGGCGAGGATCAAGCTCGTTTGGATGTGGTGGCCAGTGGAGTTGGAGGGGGGGGGGGGGGGGGGGTAGGCACCGGCGGATTCTGCTCGAAAATGTGCTCCATTTTTTTTATCCACATACCAAACATGCATGAAACTTACCAGAAAAAGTACCGAACTCTGCCAATTTTTTTGCCAGCAGAATCCGCCGGACCCTAGGGGGGGGGGGGGGGATACATTTTCAAAAAGTAGGGGATAAAGGGATATAGTCAATTTGTCGTCATTAATCCTGCTGCGTTCGAGTATCATGTGTCTGCATGGGGCTCGCCGAGTTTGGCAGCCTCCAATGGATGGCTGTGCCTCCCTGGCTGTCGTGGAGGCTAAGGTGTAGGGTCCAGCAGATAATGCTCCGAAAATGTTTGGTTAATGCTAATCATAGTGCTCCAAAAACTACCTTGTAATGCTGATTATAATGCTTCAACAAGGGCTATAATGCTCTTGGTTTGGAACAAGAATGGAAGAAAGGCTGCACATTGTCAAACTTCCAGGAAAGGACGCATTTAGTCGATCTGCCTCCGAAGCTGCTACAATATCTCTCACGAGCTCCACCACTTCTTAGCACTATAAGACACGACTCGAGTCTCCATTGGCTGCTCTCCATTGCAACTTTGATGCAGGGCTGTGGCTGAATAGTGGGTGTATCGAATCTTTTCCCTTGCTTATCCATGTAGTGAGAGGTGAAACCATTATTGCTGGTGATCATTTGGATGCTGGAAGCATATCATGGGAAGTGGTATTCCTGCCTGCAGACAAGCTGTTCCACTCTGTGAAAAATTTCTTCATCTGAAACAGCTCACGTGAGGCCAGTCCGAGACTATCTCAGATCGAGATCCCTCCCATCTGCGGAAATCCTGAAAACACGTGGTCAGAAGTAATTTCGCCGCTCTACATCCTCTGCTTGCGCTGTCCTCTTCTCCTGAGGTTGCGTGGAGACAAATGGTTGGCCAACGTGAATACTCTTCTTTTCTGATAGCACTTGACTGTAGGCCTTGCACTACAATCGTCCACGACGAACTGTACGTGCTTCACCAGGAAAGTAAGACGCGCTCCTGAACACTCAAATCGACTTGGCACTGCGTCCATGAGAAATTCTAGTTCTTTTCGAGCCTGCTGAGCTGGACTCGGCAAAGGCAGTTATTTGGAACAAGCTCTTTCTGTATATAGCCGCTCCTTCATCCAGGTCCAAATTTATCAGTGTTTTCTTCAGTATCGCTAGAGATGCTATGGCCAGAGCCTATGGCACAAGAGGAAAACTCCTCTTCGTCTCTTTTTTAAATATTTTTATTACTAAAATGCCATGTGGTGCACGCAATGGGAACATGCAGCAGCCATAGTGGTGGGGGCCAGGCGCTCCGTCGACCAACTGGTCTCGAGTCCTAGGGACCGGCGGATTCTGCTCGAAATTCAAAAGGTGGCAGATTCTGCTCGAAAAGCAGTGAAATTGGCAGAACCATACAAACCGTATGGCGGGCAATTCCTCGAATTCTGCTCCATTTCTTTATCCACATACCAAACATGCATGACACTTACCAGAAAAAGTACCGAATTCTGCCAATTTTTCTGCCGGCAGAATCCGCCGGACCCTAGTCTCGACATCGTTACGCTCTGGACGCACCAGATATATTTTTTAATGGAAGTATGAGGGAAAGAGAAAGAACAGGGGGAGCGGGAGGGGGGGGGTAGATTGAGAAAGAGAGAGTGCATGAGAGCGTGTAGTTCTGCAAGTTCATGTAGCAGGTTTACAAGGCGTCGGTTGCTTGCATCCAGTTGCTGGACAACAGGTGATGGTGGACCATCTTCTTGAACTGCAGCATCCCGTCCTTTGTATGGCTGCTGTGCGAGGATTCTCCGAGGCAGGGAGCTCTCAGCACTCTCAGCACGCAAGCAGGGAAAGCCTTGGCCATGGTTGAGCGGGAACGGCTTTGATATTCACTTCGCGTAGAGGTCTACGTCTAGTCGAGTCTCCTCCATGGCTCTCCATGATTTCTAAAAAAGAACTCCTCGACTCGTAAATCATCGTTACGGATTTTGGGTAACAGCCTCAGTTGCAACGTTGGGCATGCTACATCACCTGTACATTTACCTGACTACGTGTACATTGCTACATAAAGACTTTATTGTAGCAATGGCATTACATGTATGTAGTCAGGTAAATGTAGCATTAGTGCTAAAGCTGTTACGTGTGTTTACAACTTTTTGTTGCCAAAACCTGATATTTCCCGACATTATCCACTATGAAACTCGTTATGCCGCTCAAACCTCACATAATGCTCGTCCTGTTCCTTTCTAATCCTCCATAATGCTCTGATGCTCGGATAGTCTCATAATGCCGAATATAATGCATTATCCGCTGGACCCTACTCACGCTGCTATCTGGTGTTCACGAGGTGTTTGTCGCGCTGGAAACGGAGCGTCTCTGTAAGTAACTTAGTAACATTAGTTTGTATCCCTGGCGATGTTTGGGCCTGGGGAGCACGTTATACATGTACATGTACATGTATATAGTGCTCTTCAGACACAATTTTCCTCAGCCTACTCAAGCTCAACTGATGAGGGGTGAATTCCCCGAAACACTGTGTATTGAGCAGAGAGTGGTGCTTTCTTGCAGGTTTGCCAAGTCGAAGGTTCGATGGACTTCTCGTGTGCTCTGGATGGCAGTCGTTAGTCGCGGCAAGTCGCCTCAGTCAAGTGTAAGCTCAAGTCGGCGGAATAGAGCGAGCTACAGTGTGTGTGTGGGGGGGGGGGGCTAGCCTTGCTTCTGGTGCGAAGAAATAAAATCAGGTATTACATGCCTAGTACATGCCTAGTACGGACTGACATCATCATTACAATCATGTGCGTACTCGCCGCCGCGCCTGAGCTGCCGTTGCCATGGGGAAACGAGTGTTCGCAGGGGCTTGCCCCAGCCACATGTACACAAAGACTCAAGACTCAAGTCAATGTCATTATTGTGTTGTTCGCAGCACGCGCGTTGGCATTCCGTTCATATTTCAAACGGCTGTAGACAGATTGACATGAGGTGTGTGCGCCTTTCAAACTACTCGGACAGACCTGTCTAGCACTGGCAGCCCCACAACGGCACAAGCTCTCCTCAGCAGAGAGCCTGCATGCGCCCAAGCAGGCAGTCTGGGTGCACGGGTAAGATTACCACTAGAAGCAGTACAGTAGTGGTGGAGCAGCATGTCGATGTCCTTGTCTGCTAACACCTGCCTGCGGAGACGCATTGGCAATGGCATACGCCAGTAAAGTCAAGGCACATACACATACATGTGCATGTACATAATTGCAGGGGCGCATCTTTTGCTGATGTTCACCCCTCCAACAGGTCACTTTTCAATAATGAGTGTTTCGTGGAATGGGTGTTTCAACGCACTGCGCACTCCATGGACACTGAGGCGCGGCACCTGAGCACCAGGTTATTACTTGCGCAGGAGCGGCGGCAGTTCTGGCTTCTAAACGTGAAGCCACGGCGTAGACAACAGTCGATGTGGTAGTGTTGACTGTTGGCCCAACACGAGCTACATGTAAGTGCTAGGCGTAGGAACAGCAGCATGCCTCTGTGCCAGGAGGACGTGGAGCGCTCTCTACGAATACTCTACGAGGTACGAGACCTGCATAGCAGTTCTAGTAGCAATGACGAGGAGAAGCTGGCCATAGAGGAGGCCATCGCGGTGCTCGAGGCACATCACACCAGCGGCGCCTTGCCCAAAAGCCCCGAACCGGTCAATGAGAATGGCCACGCTCAGGAATTCTGGACGCAATATGACTCGATACGGCGATCACCGGTGGTTCACGAGGGGCAGCGTATCAACGTCGTTGAGTTCGACAACGTACCCAAGGAGGACGGCCTGGGCGTGCGGCTGGACTATGGCGAAGTGGACAGTGCTGGAGCGGCCGGCGATGGCAGATCTGCCAGTCCGAATGGCTTGCTGCACGATCGTCCCATTGTGATCGCGTCTGTAGACGAGGGTAGCGTGGCGAGTGTGGATGGGCGACTGAGACCCGGGGACCAGGTACTGGAGGTGAACAGGCATACACTGCTCCGGACAACGCTGGACAGAGCAAGGTCAGTCCTGCGCTAGGCTATGCAACGTAATTTATACCCACACTATACACATTGATGTGTGTGTGTGCGTGTGGAATGTATGGGAAGAGCAAGAGAAAGAGGTGTGTGTGTGTGTGTGTGTGTGTGTGTGTGTGTGTGTGTGTGTGTGTGTGCGTGCGTGTGGAATGTATGGGAAGAGCAAGAGAAAGAGGTGTGTGTGTGTGCGTGTGGTGTGTGTGTGTGTGTGTGTGTGTGTGTGTGTGTGTGTGTGTGTGTGCGCGCGCGTGTGTGTATACAATCATGTATATATGGGGGGGGGTGCTACTATGCAATATTCTATCATTATGTTAGTGGTACAGCTATTAGACCGTTCTGAATGAACTACACGTACGTTCACAACTTCAAGTCACAAGTGCGATACGTGCGTTACCTCGTCATCGCGTGTGAAAAGGAGCGTGGGGGAGGGGGGGGGGGGGCAGTGCAGCAGAAGGAGAAGGGAAAGTCCCCAGTGTATCTCCACTGCAATGTGTGGTCCCGATATCAGAATCCTAGCGCCAAGCAACGGCTGATAAAGTGGAGAAGTCCATCTGGCTTGCAAACATGATCCACACACGTAACGCCCCTCGGTGGCCTTTGCCTCCGTGGCAAGTAGCCAACATTGTTAGCAGTCAATCAGCCTCGTATCTGCACTATTCCCACGCTGAAAAGCTATCAAAATCCCTTGGTCACCGCTAGCACACAGAAGCTGAAAGGAGCCTACGAGCAGTGTTTCTTAGAGCTCATTGAATGCAAGAATGGCTGGAATGGTAGCTTCCATAATAACGGTTTTTTTGTTATTCGTCTTACCCCTGGCCACGCTAAGCATGCTCATGAGCGGAACTATCAGACTGAGCGCTCGGGAAAATACGCTGATGCCTGTTTCCAATTTCTGGCTTTGAGATAATACACATGTACATGACTGTGCTGAAACGTTGAGACAGCCAATATCCCATACGCACCAAGAGCCACGACCATGGTACATGTACAATGTAGGTAAGGGACGACATTTATTGGGGGAGACGGGGAAACAGCTAGAGAAGCGAAAGACTGTACATGACAAGAACAAGTTCGGAGAGAGAGAGAGATAGATAGATAGATAGTAGATAGAGATAGATAGATAGAGAGATAGAGATAGAGAGAGAGAGGGAGAGAGAGAGAGAGAGAGAGAGAGAGAGAGAGAGAGAGAGAGAGAGAGAGAGAGAGAGAGAGAACCCTTGCAGAAAGTGTTCAATGCCACGAGGGCAGAGCGTAAAGCACAAGTTAGCAATGGAACTAGGCGGAATTTTAAAGCTGTAAGTCGGAGTTTTTGGCTATCCTCACGATTCCTCAGAGGATCGGCGGAATGTAATGAAACTCCGAGTGACAGGGTAATTCTGCCAAGTTCCAGCCTAATTTCATTGATATCTTGTGTGCGTGCATATGTACAGTATACATAACTGTACGTGTCATTTTGGCAGCCTGGCAGGCGCACTGTAATTGCGTTCTGCATGGAAATGCAGAATTCACCATGGCCGGCCGGGAGAATGTACATTTCTGCACCGCAGCCGGTACTATGCCATCACGCAGTGTCTCAACAGAGAGAGTGGGTCCGGGTCACGCCACGTTCCCTGTACTATTGTGGTGTCGCCCTGCTCCATAATAGCCCAGAACCTGCAAGGCTTGAACGTTTATACATGTATGTACATAATTTGTACATGCCTGTATTGCCTGTTCGAGAACAGTTCCACATGACCAAGAGTTGAGAACATTTGGACGGGATTTCTAGCGCAATAATATTTCGATTAAGAGCCTTGAAAAACCCTCCAAGTAAGCATACACTGATGCACTACACCCCCCCCCCCCCTCTCCGGCCCGCACACACACGCATATGTTCAGGTTATAGAAATACGCACGTACACGTACATGTAGTCCTATGCTGTAGGTAGTGCAGCGCCATTGTTACGCCTGCTTTTGCCTAGTTTTGGCGCGCAGACGGAGTCCGAGAATTTGCGTGGGACGCTACTGGCCGGGGTCCAAAAATAGCGTCTGCCCATTGCGCAATGGAAGGTGGTGAGGAAAGGTTCACTTTATTCGACCGGGGACATACTTGTACATACATGTATACATATACATACATATACATGTACCTGTACACGCTACGTACATTGTAAATGGCACTCTGCTTTCCACTCTGCGTGGAAAGGAGACCAACGGTACAGACACTTCACAAGTTCAAGCAGATATTGTTTTCAGCATTTGCTCTAAATCTAGGCCGATTACAAGCCGTGACGGGATTGGGTACATCTCTGCCAATTCTAAAGTTAGAGAAGAGCTCGTAGTTGTAGCGCAGATGGAGGTAAAAGCGGGGAGTCGGCATTCCAGCACTGAGTCTGCAAGAGCACCAACTGCGCGATACTTGAGAGATGGCACAAACATCCAGCAGTGCGACTCTTCAGTGTTGAGTTTCGAGTCGTCACTCAATATCTCTGAGTCTCCCTCGATATCGGACTGTCAGTATTCGGTTCAGTAGCCGACAGCACGGTCGATTTAGTGTTGTGCTGAAGTTAGTTGCAAGATGTGCAGTGTTGCTTCTTGAAGGCTCGGTACCTGTTGGTGAATTGATCTCGCGCACACTTCTTTTAAAAGGTGTTCATATCCACACGCTTGTCTGCGTACATGGTATGAAGGGTCAGAGATGCTGGGCTTTGTGCAAGCAGTATACATGGTACAGCCTCAGCTATAGTATACAATTAAATTTAGGTGCAGGACACTATTGAGAGGAGCCCTGGTACATGGTCTGCAACACGCGCACACGGTGGATATGGGTCGCCATACCAGAAAGAAGTATGGGTAAGCAAGAGTTTCAGACGGAGTCCTGCAGGCATGGTGCAAACTGGGACATGTAAATTGTAATCAGTCTCGTTATTAACTGGTTATGCTACAAATTACTGCACATAGAGTGAGACAGGCAAGATGACCGCGAAACAGTAACTGTTCTTACATAATGCTAGATTGCACGTGTCGACTGTTACGCGAACTTTACCATCACGTATGTTGTAATTTAAAACGTCGAGCAGTGGGTTTGTACTTTGCAGTCCTGAAGTTTCGTTATTTGGCGAAGGCAGCCAACTGTCTGCCTGCAGTGCATATGTGCATGTATATACAGTGATGTGCGCAGATTGAGTATCCGGTGATACCAATATTCTCCCTAGGCTATGTACATGACATACAATGTACATTATGTAGCTCCATCTGTTACCATGACGTGTGCTATGTCAGCGAAGCAAGTACATGTACAATGTATAAGTTTAGGTGCATAGTCACTGTTACATGATTGTACAGTAAAACCTGGTGTAAGCGACCTCTGGGCATAGCGACCACCTGCTCTTAACGACCGTTTTCCCTTGCACGGACAGTTCTACATAGACACTGTGGGACCTGGTTCTAAAGACCACCTGGCTTTAACGACCGCTTTTCCTTGCACCATGGGGTGGTCGCTTAAACCAGGTTTTACTGTACAATGTTGATCTGTACACCCGGAACAGTGACAACCTGTTCTTGGGGTGCCCGATGTTGCTGCTGACTAAAACTAGTGTGTAGTCTTAAAAAGACCTAACTTGTAGAGAATGTAGATGACTGTACATTGTACATTGTACATGACATGTCGACCAATCATGTTCTTGTAACGTGTAGCATGCTACGGCACTCAATCCTGCGCTCTGCGTTCTCTGGGGTCAGAGTTCACCGTGATCTGGCGGACACGCGCACATCATGCACATTCACATGTACATGTACAAGGGCTAATCCCTGCCACTGCTGCCAGGAATTCACAGTTTGGTCCACGTTCTGGCAGGTACTAGACAGGCTAGGGTATACACTTAACGTTACACAGTATTATACACTATTTATACATGCACGTGCGTGAGACAGGGTATCGCAATCAGCTTTAGTTTGTGCACGCGCCTGGCGTGCAGCCATCGAGTTCGGCGGTTTCTCCGACGGCTGCGGGTTATCGCGATCGGGATGCAACTGATGGTATAATTAAAGTTACTATCCTCCAATAGTCTTGCCACTTGTGTCATCGTCTTTTGTTAGACTATAATAGAGTGGTGGAGGAAATGCGGAGCGCAGCATGCAGCCCATGTACTGAGCAAACCCATCCATGTAGCTCTTCAGCAGAAGGCTGATTTGAACATGTGGTCGTCACTGGTCGAGCTTTGTGTCCTTGAAACGGCGGTCGATCCAAGGCCGCAGCCCGGTGGTCTCGTGTCGGCCTTCCTTGAAGGCAAACTATGACTGATTGTACAGGTCAACTTGAGGAATGTTTAGATATCCTCGATGTGCTAGTTTGTGCATGTACGTGTGTGCAATTAAGTGCGTGCGCGTGTGTGTGCGTGTGTGTGCGTGTGTGCCCCTACTTCTAGTCAGCCAGTGTAGACTATAGACTAATAGAGCCACTGCAAGTGGATGGTCGTTATTCAATTCGTTCTGTATCTTCGCTCTCTGCATTGTATTCTGCGTGCACGTGGGTTCCTTCAACCTAGTACCTCTGTAGGACTTGCATACCATTCGCCTAAACGGCGAACGATCTCACACAGAGCTAGTCGAGTACCGTAACGTTAGTACTGGATGCCTGTAGTAGCTCCTCATCCCTCCGCAAAGTCCAGATAAAATTAATGACAAGAGCATACCAAGATGCCTCTCTGCGGCGTCTTTGGAGGTCCACGAATACAATCAGATCAGAGAAATTGCTTCACGCTTTCTCCTCAGGATCATTTTGATTGTCTTGTGTTCTGATGCGTGTGACGTAGCAGCACATTGTAACACTGTAACCCCACCACCCTGTATCGGATGTAAGACACTTTCCCGGCATGCAAGGGCCTCCCTGGAATGAGACACATTCGACATGTAGGTCGGTGTTAGCCAACAGTAGGTGACACCTGACATGTGAGGAGCCCCGGTGGGTACATGGGTGCGAATGTGTCCCGCTGCCGTGATCGCAC